TCCTGATCAGAGAAGAAAAATCTTTTTGCCTTGTGGATTTTTCTTGAACCATGGTTTCTACAGGAAGGATGTGGATTTTGGAGACCACATCTTAATCAATCCCACTGATTGTGGTCAGGGATACATGAGGACAGTGAAGAGATGTCTTGCAGAGGTGGTGGCTGCTCCACTGTCTCATATACCTCCCATTGGTTGGTTGGTTCACAGCCAATTTCCCTTCTCTTTGGATTTCCACAAGGAAATCTGAAGCTCCACAGGGGATTGTGCTGTGGAGCACATCACCTGCCCTGCAGAAACCCCCTTCTTCTCCACCCCTTCAACTCTATGAAGTGCAGACATTTGATGGGAAGCATCCCTGTGGGCCTAAAGAGGGAAGAATGATCCAGAGTACCATGATTGTGGCAATCTCCCACCTCTCCAAGGAAATAAGGTAATATGTGTGGGTGCCTGGCCCCTCCAGGAGTGTCAGTTTGTTCAAAATCAGTTGTGAGGATAGTAATTCCTTAACAGAATTTTTGGATGGGATCCTCAAGGTCATCAGGAAGTCCAGTCAGTTTTGCATTCCTCTCCTGTGCCGTGCCAAGTTAAAAAAGACACAGGGCTAACCTGTTTCCCCATTTCTCCCCAGTTAAGAGCCTCCATTTGTTATAAGCTATCAATGAGCATGGATGGTGCAGTGTGCCCCCATCTGATGTTACCTGAATTTTTTATGGCCTACCTCTTTTGTCATGGCTGTTTTGATCGCTATTGTAAGGTTGTGCAACTGGGTTGTACTTCCTCTAACTTGGGTATTTTTGTATGTGTGAAGTGTGGTGTGTGGTGTCACGTGCTTAGCAAAGTGGAAGCACACTGGTTTCTGTCCCAGTTGGTGAAGGTTACGGGTGAATACTATAAGCAGACCATTGTTCTTTTGCAATCAATGTAAAGTTTCTTAACCTTCAAAGATAGTATCCTCCACTATTACCACTCACCATGTAGAAAAAAACTGGCTTCTACATTTCCCTTTTCTCCCTACCCCCAAGCTGTGGTCTGGCATGAACTGTACCCAACACAATAACCATCACAATAACAAAAAAATGAGGAATACAGACTATTTCAAAAATCCTGCCATTTTTGAAAGAATCACATCTAGGAAGAATCACGTCTAGACTGCTGTTTTACTTTCGAAATGGTGCTTGTTTGAAAGAGCACCATGACGCAATTGTACAAATGAAGCGTGGGATATTTAAATCCTCACTTCATTTGCACTTTCGAAGTACCTCATTTACATCCTTCTGCCGACAGAGGGATGTGGTCTAGACGTAGCCTTAATGTGTGGTTCTTTCTGGCCTGCAATCCCATGAATCATCATGTATTTATTTAGCATTGCAAACTGTTTTCACTTGTGTCCTAAATCAGAATTTGGATTAGCATCTCCAAAAGCAACAAAGAGTTAAGTTGCTCTGCAGTCTAGCCCCCCTTGAAAGGACACTTCAAATATGGATGGGCTATAACATTTTGAATCCACAGAATTTTAAAAATGTATCCATTCCTGTGAAAATTTTTGTTTAAACTACCATATTGAATTTGGAAAGCTTAGATTTTTATTTTGTTTTAATAATATTCTGTTAAATGGTTGTTCTAAGTGAAGGTAATGTTTGTGAAAAGTGCCAGATTGTGAGTTCCAGAGAGTCAACTCCTCTTGTCACAGGACACATAGCGTATAGGCCGTAGCAGCAGAGCATGTTTCCCCACACTGTGATTTGCCTTGACGTTGAACATGTTTTTCAACTCCATATTACTTTAATGCTTCTCCTCCCTGATGGGCATCAGTTGAGATGGTGTATCTGTGATTTGCTCATTAGTCCCCTGCGAACTTTATGGAGACCATCAAGTCATGTAGGCCACCATACACCTTAGAAACTGTCAGCTTTATCTTA